AAGAGAGCCGAGCGAAACGAGAAAAAGAGGTAGAACGAATGTGGCGGGAAGGGGTAAATGGCGATGGAAGAGTTATGGGGATGAAGGAGGCAAAACAGAGGAAAGAGGACGGAACGTGAGAGAGGACGTAACAGCAGGATATCAGCGGCGAACGACGAAAGTAATAAAACTTGGATGGATGGCAGGCTCGGACAGATTGGTCGGCTATTCAATTGGGAATTCGACGAATTTATGGACTTCTTAATCTGCCATTATGGACGGCCATTTAGGAACCCCCTTTCACGTCTAGGCTTTGCCACGCAGTTCATTCTTTCGATGTCGGAGCAAGTGGAGTAAATGATTTTACGAACGCTTCCGAGAATGTTGATGACGTGTTACTCGAATAGAGTTTTACATACAACAGAAATTTATTTCTTGTTAATAAATGTTGTAATTTGATACATCTATCCTATGGACTGTCTTACTATTCCTTTTGTTGATTTGCACTAATTATTTCTTAATTAAAAGTTATTTTTTTACATATATCCATATTTTTCTTTATTTGAATCTCTTATATTGCGTGTATAATTTTTTTTACTACAAAAATGCAAAAGATAATTGTTGAAAGCAGAATGTGCGTGTGTGCGTGAGCGCGCGCTTCGGACACAACATTTCAAGCCCGCCGTTTTTTTATTAAGTTAGATTAAACTTTACATTTGGATGTTACAAATTGCCAGCACAGAGAGAGAATATATTTTTCTCTCTAGAGAAAACTTTGGAAGTCCATTACTCAGTTTTGACGTGGAAGCGCTTGGTTCCTTTCATATAATGATCGTTCATTTATCCTTGCTTTGCGAGGGAATCCAGCGGTGAAAAACAAGCTACTCGGTTCGGCTGCCTTCGAAGGAACGATCATAAAGTAGACCTTTGGTGCCGTGGAGGAAAGAAGAGAAAGAGAAAGAGAGAGAGAGAGAGAGAGAAAGCACGGAATATGATGAGAGAAAAGAACGAAGGAAAAAGATAGAGAGAAAGAAAGAGATAGGGACGTATAAAGAGAGAGCAAGAGAAGAAAGAGCAGTCGGAGAGAGTCACGATGTAGTTTTAACCCGACGACAACCACGACCGCGGTATTACACATAATACCTGTCTGACAAGCTACCTTACCCGTGTTGTGTCAGCCGCGAATCGGCTATGTGTATTGTGTATGTATGTGTAAGTGTGTGTGTGTGTGTGTGTATGCGCGTGAAACACGCGCTTTTGTGTGCGCGCAGCTTACCGCTCGGCATGCACGACTGTATGCGGTTGCGTGTGTCTGCATTGCACGCTCGAATGTGGCTCGAGAATTCGGCTAAAACTGAAATAGTCGACTTATTTGGGAAGATTGGCAATATATTTCGCGAACATACAAGTAGAATTTTGTCAGTTATGTTACAAGTAGAATTTTGTCATGATTATACTTTCATATATATATGCGATTTATGTTAGATTATATATATATATATATATATATATATATATATATATATATATATATATATATATATATATATATATATATATATATATATATATATATATATATATATATATATATATATATATATATATATATATATATATATATATATATATATATATATATATATATATATATATATATATATATATATATA